GGGCGCGGCGGGGCGGGGACGAGGCGGTTCCACCGAGGCCGCACCGCGCCGCGCCGCAGTCTCCGCTCCCTCCAGAGGAAGCCCAGGGCGGGCGGGCGGTGGAATCCCGGGGCTGGGGGCGGGGATCCAGGGACTGCGCGCGGCCCCGACCTCCCCCATTGCTTCCCAGTGTCTGTAGAAATTCCCCTGACAACCCCGCAACCTAAATCTGTCGCTCACGCCCCAGAACCACCCCACCCCCACTCACCTCCGGACACACCTTCGCTAGTCCTGGAGCCCTCAGAACCCCCTCACTCTTGCGAATTCTGTTACGCCCGCAGAGCCACCATTCTCCGGGATGCCCCCGAATGCTTCCAGAGCTCTGTGGCTCCTCTGATCCTGCATACGCCCCATTCTCCTTGCACCATGCTCAAATGCAAAAAAACTTGCCCACGTTTCTCTGAGCCCTCTTACATATTTTGAGTCCCCATAATCCCTGACACTCCGCATCTCCAATCCATACGTATCCCAGACCTGAGCCCCCTCTTCCTGTCTCAGCCAAAGTAACCCCCTTCAGTGAAGTGTCATGATATGTCCTGATACCTTAAAGACAAATGAAGGGGACAGAAAAAGATGCAACACCCTCCCCCATCTTGCACCCTGTAGTTCTTGGTTTCACCCTCAGACTCCTTTTTGATGGCTCAAGCCTCGGTATTTTCCCAGCTGCCCGTCTTTAGGCTGTGTACATCTCCCTGAGCCCGCTTCCTTCTTCCAGAGAATAAGCCAGACCAGGGGGTGGGGGTCCTTTTATCTGGGAAGTTGTCTGAGGAAGCAGAGCCCAAGGGGCCCTGGGAAAACATACTGCTTCTGGAAAGCAGGAGGGTGGGATTTCAAGGATCTCCAAGGTCCTGGCTTGTCAATTTGTCCACCTGGGGCTCTGATCTCTGAAATTTTGATTTATTGTTAGCATGTATGTTAAAAATTTTACGCCTTTCAGAACTTGGAGAACAGAAAATCTATCAGGTTTCCAAATGTGAGATTGAGGGAGCTTGTTCTGGAAGAGGCAAATGTCCATTTTAGTGACGTTTTTCCTATGCACTTCTAGAAGTTATTTCAGCGAGAAACTCTGCAGGTTACAGATGTTTCCCTTGAAAACTAAGGCCTTGAGGTGGGAGGTGGGAGGTCGACTTGCCAGAGTCTCCCAGATGCTTAATGGCAACAAAACAGACTAGAAGATTGGTTTTCTGAATCTTAAGCCGGCGTTCTTTCCCATACATCATAGTGTCCTTTTGAGAAAGCTCTCTGTAAAGTTCCCCACAAAGGTTTTGGTGTTGGTTGTAACAGGATTCAGATGGGGTCGGGGTCTAGAGGTAACTTAAAAGGTTGCCTCAAACTCAAAATCATTGCTGCTGTGGGAATCACTCCCTCTCAGCGCCTGTGGGGCTTTGAATTGGTGGCCCCTTTGCCCTTGATCTCACTTTCTTCTTTGTGTTTCTGTCCCCTTAGGACCTGGAACAGATAATCCAGGTGGGATGGACTGACCGCAAGTGAGTTTCATTAACAATTGGGGGTGAGGATGAAAGGTTTCCACTAACCTGTGGTCTCTGTCTCCTGTGCTAGGTGAGCCCCAGGTGTGTCCCAGAGGGATCCAGGTGACTTCTCTGCAGACTACCTGCCATGACGCCCCACCAAGAACAGGGGGAATAAAGTGGGGGTCCTTCCCCATGCCCCTCCCATGGTCAGCTCCCCAATGGCCTGGGTGAGGTGAGAGCTGTTTATAGGAGCCACTTTTCTGGAGTTTTCCAAGTTGGGAGGAATGGGGGATATAGGTCAGGATTGTTCAAGGCTCTACACGTTCAGTGGGAGTTATAGAAGGATATCTAATCCTACAGGTTCATTTCTTGTATCGAGTTGCAACCCATTCTGGTTGGGATCGTTCTGTGCATTTGCTTGCTCCCGTAGGTCTTTCAAGCTTGGTGGTGTCCTCTCCATTCTAGACAGAGGCCCAACCATTGTGACATATAATCCAAGTGCCATAATCCTGGAGGGAAAAGCCAGATAGTAAGTCCTCTGGTCTCCCCTTTAGATGAAGGAGAGAAAACCCAGCATTTATTTTTTCCATGAAGAAATAGCTAATCGAGGTTATAAAAATTGTGCCCTGTTTTAAGTTCAGTCTTCTTACTGTATCTTTTGGCCATAATATAATACCCCATGGAAGAGAACATCAAAAAGATAAATTTGAAGTAGATGTTGGGATGGTAGTGAGGGAAAAAAAGAGAATTTGGGAGATGTAGGAAGGGTGAGGTGGAAAAGAAGACAAAAAAAAAAAAAAA